GGAGAGAGAGAGGAGACGAGGAGAGAGAGAGAGAGAGAACGAGAGGAAGAGGGAGAGAGAGATTGAGAGACGAGAGAGAAGAGAGAGAGAGGAGAGAGAGAGAGAGGAGAGAGAGACGGAGAGAGAGAGAGAGAGAGAGAGAGAAGAGAGAGAGATGAAGAGAGAATGAGAGAAGAGAGACCCGAGAAGGAGAGAGAGGAGAGAGAGTCAGAGAGAGAGGAGAGAGAAGAGAGAAGAGAGAGAGGAGAGAGGGAGGATGAGAGAGAGAGAGAGAGAGAGGAGAGAGAGATGAGAGAGAGAGAGAGGAGAGAGAGAGAGAAGAGAGAAGAAGAGAGATTGAGAGAGAAAGAGGATGAGAGAGAGAGAGAGAGAGAGGAAGAGAGAGAGATGATGAGAAAGAAGAGAGAGAGAGATGAAGAGAGAGAGGAGAAGACGGAGAGAAGGGAAGAGAGAAGAAGAAGGAGAGAGAAGAAAGACGGAGAGAGGTAGGAGAGAAGAGAGAGGAGAAGAGGAGAGAAGAGAGGAGAGAGAGAGGAGAGAGAGGAGAGAGAGGGAGAAGAGAGGGAGAGAGAGAGAAGAGAGAGGGACGAGAGAAGAGAGGAGAGGAGATGAGAGGAGAGAGGAGAAGAGAAGAGACAGAGAGAGAGAGAAGAGAGAAGAGAGAGAGAGAGAAAGAAGAGAGACGACGAGGAGAGAGAGAAGAGAGAGAGAGGATGAGACGAGAGAAGTAGAGAGAGAGAGGTAGAGAGAGAGAGCAGAGAGAGAGAGAGGAGAAGCAGAGAGAGAGAGAGAGAAGAGAGAGAGAAGAGAGAGATGGAGAGAGAGAGAGAGAGAGAGAGAGAGGAGAAGAGAGAGAGAGAGAGAGTAGAGAAGACGAGAGGAAGAGAGAGAGAGAGAGAGAGAGAGAGAGAGAGAGAGGAGAGAGAGAGATGAGATGAAGAGAGAGAGAGAGAGATGGAGAGAGAGAAGAGAGAAGAGAGAGAGAGAGAAGAGAAGAGAGAGAGAGAGAGAGAGAGGATGAGGAGAGAGAGAGAGAGAGAGAGAGGAGAATAAAGAGAGAGAGAGAGAGAGAGAGAGAGAGGAAGAGAGAGGAGGAGAGAGAGAGGAGAGAAAAGAGAGAGAGAGAGAGAGACCTGTAAATAATTTTTAATCTAACACACTTTTGGTTTGGCTGATCAATTTACAATTTCTTACAGAGCATGGATTTGGTAAAGGAAAAAGAGAACGCTTCTTGAATGCAGTGTTTTTACTGTCCGAGATTTATTTTCACATAGGCCCAAGACCAGAGGATGAGCCTATATCGATTTTGGGAAAAGAACTGTTAAACTGCTTTCGTCAGCTCCTCTCTGGACAGGAGGAAGAATTAGAAATTTTAGCTACCTGTGTATGTACTTTTGTATGGTGTTCAAAAGTAACCCTGCTAATTGGAAATCTTTGGAAGCTTTGTGGAGTCTAAATGTTTATTTTTTATCCCATCTAACTTTTTGGTGATTTTCAAAATTACAAAGTTTTCTAGACAAAATTGACTTTCTAAAATGACAGAAAATGTTTGGGGGTAAACATCATTAGTTGCTTTATCTTCAATAGCTCAACACTCATCTTCAGGATGTAACAGGAGCATTGATTATTCTGAGTCGATTAAAAAAAATTTTGTGAATTCTACATTTTTTTATTCCTTTAAAAACAAATTTCAATTTTTCAAATCAAAGGTAACAAGTTGCTTTTAATTTTGGTCTCTACATGGAAATCTCAAAAATGGAATGTGTCTTCTATTGTTTCAGCTAATTATCAATGGAATATGTCTGAAAAAACAGAACACAACAATTTATGAGAGCCTCCTGCTAGACATTCGTAGGACATTGCTGGCAAGAAACATATCTGTGATTGGGAAATGCTTAATGCTTCTGATAATAGATATAGATAACATAAATTTTACCTCATTACCTGAAGACGTTATGCTCTTTTACATGGTATGTACATAGAATGCAAACTTAGTATGTGAAAATTTTCATAATAATAATAATAATAATAAATATAAATGATGACCAAAATGATAATGAAGTTTAATAATTTTTTCTGTTTTCTTATTTTTAAGATGCATCTTGGAGATCAAGGATTTCAAAGACTTGAGAGAATGAGATGGTCTCCAACATCAAGCTCTGCAAGAATGTCAGGAAGTGTTGAGGCGTCTACTGTTGAGGTGTTTACCGTTGAGGCGTCGACTGTTGAGGCATCTACTGTTGAGGCATCTACTGTTGAGGCATCTACTGTTGAGGCATCTACTGCTGAGGCATCTACTGTTGAGGCATCTACTGTTGAGGTGTCTACTGTTGAGGTGTCTACTGTTGAGGCGTCTGCTGTTGAGGTGTCTACTGTTGAAGCATCTACTGTTGAGGCATCTGTGATAGAGCAGTTGCCACAAAGAACTCAGCATACAGAGCATAGCCAGTCGGGCAATAGGAAAAAGCCCTCAATGCCACTCTATACACCTCCGCCAATGAGGCAACATTACCCTCGAACACAACCAGACCCTTCCAGACTGCGAGAGACAACAGAGCTGCAGGTTATTGATATGAGTACCTCAATGATGCAAAAGCCTGAAAGTAAATCAGACAATTTGAAAGTCTGTTCCTGTAATATTCCATGCCAAAGCTTGAATAAAAATGACAGTCAAAACTATGATGATAGTGAACTGGAGTCATTGGATTTAGGTAAATTCCCATAATTTTATTCAATGCTTTAATTTATTGCTTGCTGTTCAATATTTAATTTTTGTTTTAATAAAATAATAATTATATATTTCCGTAGAAATAAATAAAAAAGGAAACTAAAATGCATACGTTTTTGTTGCAATGAACCGTGAAATATACGAGTATTTACATAATTGTCATGGATAAAACTGAGAATAAAAATTTATTCTCATCTTTATTGTTTTGTTCTCTCTAGATGAAGAATTTGCCAAGGTTGGATTGAGTCCTATTTCGGAGGAGGATGAAGCTGAGCAGGGGGAAGATGGTAAAGAAAGTTGGTATTCAGAGAATGATAAATAAGACAAATATATTAGTTTACTATTGTGTTTTTTGTAAATATTCTTTACTTATATTTGTATTGTTCTGATGCCTGTTTAATTATGGTGCATTTCAGTTATTGGAAGGCTTTGTCAATAAAAATATGATCATCAAACCATTGTTTATCACAGATATTAGGAGTGCATGTTTCAATATTTGACAGATGTGACAATGATAAATAGGTAATTACAAATTGCTTAGTTGTTTTTTACCTAAAGCTGTATTATCTAAGACGGAAAGAATATGTGTTTTGTTTAAGTTTGCAAATAAAATTGTTTTCAGAAATAGTCTTGATTTTAATGCTTTCATCAATTTTATAATGTTGTCTCCTGAAAATAATCAGAAAAGTTTTTTAAAATATTGATTTACTTTCCCTTTTTGTCTATTTTTTTCAGAAAATAACAACTGCTTACTTTCTGAAAATGTTATTACAAGATGACATGATTTTATGAAAGTTAATTCACTGTAGAAAGAATTACTTGTGACTGGATATGAAATGAAAGGGTATTTTGTTCTGCCCTTTATGAACAAAGAATTTTTAAAATGAATCTAATTCATGTTAACTATTTTAGGAACTCTGGTTTCCAATGCGTGAAATTAACATTACCAATTTTTTAGTAAAATGGTTTTTTTAGAAAGAAATATGAAATTGTCTTGTAATATGTTAAAATAATGTAACAAGAGAGTGTAAACAAAACTTCTGCAGTGAAAACAATTGCCAGCCATGTGATTCTTTCAACCCTCTCTTCATTGAACTTGGCATCTTGCCATTACTCTGTTATTTCTGAATATGTAGTTTTTTCTCAACTCCTTTTTAATAGGGTGGTGGGAACATATTTTCTTGCAATGTACAACCAAAGAATTCTATTCATTAGGAGTAAGTATCAAGTGTTCAATACAAGAAATCTACATTTAATATATAAGTACTATATATCATTGAATAACTTCAAATTTTTTTTTTTTTTGACATTTACTATAGGTGAGTTTGTAAGGTTCATTACGTGTACGAATTTATTAATGTTTCGAATGTAAAATTTTCAAACAATTTGACTTGGTTTAATTTGGTTTTAATTTTTACAATGGAGAACCTGATAATGGGATTGAAAAATATTGAGAACTATTGTTATCCTTTCAGAAACATTTTGTTATGAAATTTATAAGAAAAAAAATCAATTGTCTTTAGGTATTGGCCAAACATAATATATATTTCAAAAAGAAATGCAAGACAAATATAAATAAAACATATCATGTTTGTAGGTTACTTTGCAATACATTGTAAGGTGACTTTGAAAATTTAAAATCGATACACTAGTTATAATGCCAAGTACGAGTACAACCTTTTCTGTTGAATAAGTATAGACTAACCATTAACAAGAAAAATAATATATTTTTGCAAGGTATCCTAGAATAATTTGTTGCTGTTGTAAATGTTGAAGATGTCCCAGTCAAGATAGGATTGCATGTAGTGCAGACACCTTTATGAAGCATGATCTTTTGTTAGAAAAAATTTGGGGGGGAAACAAAAGTTCCTTAAGAAGGTGGTTATAATCACCATAACTTAATTCAGAAGTGAAGTGTAAGAACTGCCAGAAATATTTAGAATTTATATGTGACAAAGATGACACAATAACTGACAACCTAGATGCTAGAATAGCTATTTTAATAAACAATTATAACCCAACTGAGACTAGTGATGTAATTATATTACATGTGCACAGTTTTCTAAAATCTAATAGTGCTACAGAATGGCACATTCCTTTTTATAGTACAAGTTATTTTTTTTTTTTGGTCTGGAGTAGGTTTTCTCTTTTTTCCGGCCCTCTTTCCAGCTACCATCTATTAGTAAATTACATTTTCAATATTTTGGCCCCCTAAGGATGGAACTGAATCCTGGACCTTATGAATATTATAGAAGAGATTTTACATTTCCCTGACGATATTCCTTGTCCCGCGTGGAATGTTTCGTAGAAAAATTTGCGTAAATGTAGACTCAACGTTTCTGAAAATGGACATTATGAAGATTATTTTTACCCCAATTATTTGGGTTTTCGAGAAATTTCATACACAATTATTTGTAGAAATTGTACTCAAATTCAATAATGTAACTTACCCTGGTAACAAATATTAATGGCTTGAGAGATATTTTAAATTATGAGCTGTAGAGGCACATACTTTCTCGTATTATTTCTAACTAAGCTATATTATATTTCTACATAAACCCGTAAAGAAGTTTTCAACACAATGATTCCGCTCCCAGACCCGAACGCATCTTCAAAGTTAACTTGCATACATGGAATTAAATACATAAACTTAACATACCACTACCCCCACACATCGTTTCATGCGAATTCTGACAGATGCGTCAAATGAAAATGCTAGCTTCATGTAAAAACTTCAAAAATCAAAATATCCGCTTGAAACTCCCAAAGCCTCGAGTATGAACAGATCGTTTGGGGAATATAAATTCGGGAGAAAATCGGCTAACTGGTTTAGGCCAGTGCTTGCCAGTAATTATAATTCTGTGACGTCACAGAAATTCGTTCTTCTGCTGTTAACCGAGCTGCGGAGACAAGGGAGCGCCCGATGCGGCGATCGGCGCACAGACGGTACTGCAGTACAAAGGTACAGAAATGGGCGAGGGGGAAGTTCGGTTTCAATATCGATGATTGCTTTTTTTAAAATTATTATTTTAAAAGTTTATGATTGAACAATAATATGAAAAATTATGTTGTACGACATTAGACTATTACATTTCTTGAGGCTGCGAAATATTACTTAGATGATTGGGAGAGCATTTGCAGAAACTGCGACGAGAAGTTCTGTGCATCGCGTTTCTGTGTTCTTGTCACACGAGAAGATTCTGAAAAGACAACACACAATTGACAAGATTAACATCTTGCCATAAGAATGTTTGTGTTTAAAAAATTGTCATGGTTCCCTCTGTCTGGCTGATAATATACGTTGTCCTTACGGATTCATGCTATATGCTGTTGTTTCCCCCCCTCTCCCTTCTTTTGCTGCGTCTCGAAGCGCTGGTTCACGAAGACTGCATGAGAATGCTTGCTGTCAAAGTACCACACCAACTTTCAATGCGCGCAATACGCTTATTACTTAGCATCTCTACGCAATTGCTACGAAACTGCTCGTGGCTCCAGATTCTCAAACAATGCGACCTCGTCGCATGGTCGGCAGCCATGAATTGGTGGTAAAACGCGCTTCCGCCAACGACGCGGCGTCACAGCCAAGATGTCATGAACTCGAGCCGCGGATGCTTAGGTGTGCAGGCCGGCTATCTGTCAAATCTCAGAATTTGTTTTTATTTCACGAGTTTCTCCGGGTCGCAAAGCAGCGGAATGCCTCAATAGGTTGAAATTTTTAACATACTGCACACTGTAGGTTGATATTTTGATCACACAAAACTCTTTGCCATTGTTATAGTATCTTCAAAAAGGAGCATTTCTTCTAATATCGAAAGAAAATTAACCGCCGTAGATAATCTCCCATTCATGTTGCCTGAAACACTAGCAATGGCCCATTGCATAGGTTTTCGTCACCGGCGAACGCAATCTGTCGATCGATCCCTCCCTCCCCCCTTTTCTTCAACTGCTATTCCGAGCATCTTATCGCTGAGAAGTAGCCTGCTCTGACGTCATTTCTTCTCCAGTTAACTCGAGCTTTGACCACAGACGGAAAGATGGATGGACGGACGGACACAAAAACAGATGTTTTGCAACTTTCAAACAAAACAGAAAGATAGCCAATATTATCTGCTGTCCCTTATTACATACGAGAAGACAATTAAAAAAAGTAATTGGAGCACTTTTTGAGAAAAAAACATGTAAAAAAACTTGCCAATATTTAGCACAAAATTTACTCGGAAACTACTAATTTTCGAAAAATTGAATATTGACTAATTTGAAGATCTGTCTTGAAGGAACAGGTTTAATTAAGGAAAACATCTCTATCTTTAATATTATATTTGTATGATGACGCCTAAATATGAATTTTTGAATTAAAAAAAAATCAGGTATTTCAACGAACATGAAACCTGCTCCATTCTTTCAAGCATTCTTCACGCTATCTCCAGACAACGATTAATCAAGAAAATCTGTGCCATTTTTTAGAAAACGTTGAAAATGTATTTGAGGCTTCATGAAAATGCTCACAGAAATCAAAATATCCATTTGAAACTTCCAAAGCCTAGAGTTTTTCAGGTCAATCAGGGAATATCAATTTTGGAGAAATCGTCTGAATGATTCAGGCGCGGCGTTTAACACGGACAGTCCCAGGCGTTTTGCCGTCAATCAATTTTTCGGTAACAAAGACCCACAAAACATGCATTCTGGGTACGTATTATACATTTAGTAACGGGATTTATCCACTTTTTCGTTACGAGGGTCCGGCAATAAGTGAGTTTCTACCAAAAATTCGCAGTTTTCGAGGTACGACACCATTACATTATCTTCTTATATAAAGTATGTAAGTAGGTGAAAAGTAATAATATAATTTCAGAACCATTAGGCATATGTAAGTTTGTCCCATGGGTAGTGTTTATAAAGTATTTAAATCTACTGTTGATAGATTCATAGTTAACTTAAATCGGTTCATGCAGATGCAAAGAAAGACAATTGATTTGATGTGTCATGACTTAGAAATCGAATAAGAGCTGAAAAAGTGTTTAAAGTTGAAAATTCTAAAATCACATTCAGACACATCAGGTTTATTTATCGGCATTGATTGCATTTGTGTGTAAAAGTGCTTCAAATGATTTTCTATAAAGTTTCTCGAATTTTCAGTAGTTTACTGTAAGAACATATTCATTAGAGATAAGTGACAAATGAAACGCTTTGAGCGTGACTCGAAGCCGTGATCTTCTGCACCGAAGCGCGAATCCGTACCTCGATGGTTTCCTAGGCTATTCGGGTGACAGAAGGGAAGACATGATTGTTTCTGTTCTAGCATTTGGGAGCCGAAAAATTGAGATTATATGAAAAAAAATTTTGGGCGACAAAAATTACAGCTGAGAAAGTATAACCGAAAAGCTAGTCCAGACTAGAAAACTAACTAGTGCGAGAAAGTCTGTGCCATTCTATAGCACTACCCGTTTATTTATTTACAATTCGCTTTTACATACGAGGAAAAACTGTAAAGAAATTACACTGGTGTTTGTGAAAATTGCAATACCAAAAATGAGACATACTATTGCAATGGATTTTTTCCCCACAGAATTGGAATATCTCAATAAAAAA